ATTACATATTGAAGTCAATAATAATGTGATCAGTATCCATCTACACATTTTATGCATAGCCTTATAACAGAAGCGGATGAAAGTGTACTAATAGATATTAAGGTTTTGTACATGGGTATTTTTTAAGTTGAATAAATTCTTTTATAACTTGGACTTTTCGCTGACATCGCTTCAAAGGCACGGGTTGGAATCGAGTTGGTGTGTTATTTTGTTTGAAAATTGACACGTAGCGCGATGAGGAACGTCAGTGGGAAGAAAAAGCAAAACGCCATAGAAAACACTAAATTCCTTTTGTGAGGTCGGCCGTGGTATGACGGAGAGACACAGCGCTGCGAGGAGAGGGAAAACGCGAGAGGACGCAGACGCCACGCGATTGATAAGGATGGCAGCACGGCAGCACACAAGGCAAGGCCTTAGCGCCGTTGCCTCGCACTTTTGAGTCGCGACAGTGTCGCCTCCTGCGCTTGGAGACCCCTCTTTCTCACTCAAAGAGGGACTGGCTCTTGACACCTAATACCGTACCGTGGCTTTAAGTTTTTGTTCGGTGAAACAGACGAGGAATTTCACCAGGGCGAATTATTGATTGGGATAGCAAACAGCCCGGGACGAAGATAGTGCATTTGGAAATAGTTCAGACTTTGCATGATTGCTACGGTATGAAGTAACTTCTGCAGTCTTACCTAACTTATCAGCAATATTCGACTTGGGAAAACTTTCAAATCCACATTACGAGCAAGGGTGATGTTTGAGCTTTGCTATAAGCTTGAGCTTGAGGCTTATTGGGCTCGTTGTTACGCCAATAAGCGACAGTTTGAGCTCAGTTTTAGCAAATAGCAGGAATTAGTTCTAGTTGATTCGTTCAGAATGAATCGCCATGCAACGAACTGGATGAACATTTGCCACTTGTGTGCAGTATGTCCACAGGATTGACAGAGAAAGCAATGGGTGCCGTGTCACTGGAAACAGAGTGGGAACCCAGATGGTACACAGTAGACACCAGCCATGTGTGGGAGACGAACAATAGGACAGTAGATTGTCGCCTGCGGCAAATCGGCTGCAAAAAACGAGGCATCCAGCAACAACTTGACTTGTAATGGCAGCTAAGCATGTATGACCAATGACAAAGACATCGGACAGATCAACCAGATTTTTTTTCGTTGAACATCAGAGGCGTAACAATGGAAGATAGCACCTTGCAATATGGCAAAATTGGGAAAATGGTCGGTCCCGAATGAAAAAGCACTACAAAATCAGATTCCTTTTGCAAGAAGTACGACAGTTCTGATGGAAAACGCGTCCCTCGAGGGAGTTGTTGGAAAGGCGGAACGAAGAAGTTTGTGGAATCATCGTGAGCCATATGCAGGTGGCAAACAAGTCATTTTGCCCATAGCGCACGTCAGCAAACCCCCTTCAAAAAGCGAGAAAGTGTCGGGGGCAGACCAAACCAAACATACTGCCATGGCTGCAAGTAGATTTGGTTAGAATTGTCTCATAACGATAAGTTGATTTTTGACATGATAATGTTCGATAGATATGAACTGCAACAGGCTAATCGTTTCATTGCAGAAAACATTACTTGGGTGAGCCGTCGTCACTTGATGGTATGCTGCACCGCACTCTCGCTTCTGAAGGTGACGTAAATCCGGCTCACCATCGTCAGGACCGAGGCTAACGGTAGTCGAAGCTCTACACAGCTTATTGAATCCGTTCACTGATGCACTATTAGCTTTCAGGAGCAGTAGTTGTGTGAGAACCCTTCTAACTATTGTCACCCGTCTGTTGTGAACTTGTTGAGCTTTGATCTTGTACCTGGTCCTGTGGCAGCGTGTATAGGCTGTCGTCTTTATGAATAGTTCTTTAATTAGTCGCAATGGCTCTCACATGATTCATTTGGAATCATCGGACGATCAAGCAAGATGTAATAGTGTCATTATATCAGTGTTAGGGGAGTGCTCTATCCGTTTCCCGCCCCGCATAAACCTCCCGCGTTCCATTGCATTGTATACAGTGTAACACACACAACACATAAATAGCTATGGTGGTCGAGGATGATGAGGAGAGGTCGCTCTATTCAAAAACCGAAGACCACCCCAGCAAGACGTGTCCTCCGTTCTTCTCTAAAATTCCCCAACGCTCACATTGACCCTGATATAGAATACAGACTTTTTGCGACATGAAGATTTTGGCCATTCTTTACGAAAATTTTCATAATTTCGAAATTTGCACAGTCAGCTTTGGAAATTTGGGTTCCTCACTGTGTCTTTATAGCAGCAAACCTGTGCGGGAGTTGTGCGTGGGACCCGGCCGGGAGAGTGGAATTGCACTCGGCTGCAAAATATCTACAAGGGGTATGAATATACAAGGCTTGCACTGACATTCCGTAATAACTTCGTATAGCATACAGAAAAGGCAGTTAGTGCTTCATCGAGATCCGTCCAGTTACGACGATACTCCGATCCCAGCATCTGACCCGAAGCGCTGGACCTATGGGAACACTCTCAGCCCTGAGTTTTTTCTACAGTTTTCCAATAACTCCCTGGTGCGTGATCAGGTAGGCACCTACCCATTTAAAAATGCAAGAAAAAAATTAGTTAAGCATATTCAGTAATATACTTTGATTTTTCAATCCTCAGCTTCCTTTTTGGGTATGAACTCAGTCTTGTCCTCCATGCTTCATGCTCGTAAAAATTCGCTCTCCACTTGTGGTGATTTTCTTCGCAATTCCGTTCCTTACATTTGCCCCGTTGTCTCATCGGAACCCGCGCGGTCTTCGGTGCGATACCGTAATCACTTCCGTAACTGTAGGAGGCGGGTCAGTGAGCGTCAAAAGAGGCAGTCATCGGCTGTGCATCCTTCCGCCAAATGGGGCCTGAATTGAGGTTCTCGATTTCGAATCTTCTCTCCGAGTCGTTTCGTCAGCCATTGGGCCAATCAAATCAGCACTGTCGACAAAATCACCTACCGTATTTCGACAGCCAGCACCCTCAAGCGTTTTCTTCCCTTCCGCTCCGTGACGATACTGGTGGGTGTCCTAATACTCGTTCTGTACTTCTCTGCTTTGCCCTGAGCCTCGACGACTCAAATCTTTTTTTTCTGAATCTTGATAGACTGAATCTACACTTTTGTTAGCTGCTTGCCGACATATAGGAGCTTGAGGTCAAACTGAGGCATGCTGGGTTTTTGAGTGGGAATTTCAGCTTAGTTCAACTGACAAAATAGAAATGGAAATATAAATTGGAGTCACTTCGGACTCTGTTTCATCGGTCCTCGAGAAGCTGGTGCTAGGGGAGCACTTTATTTCGCCTCGATTGAGGCATACTTGTAGATGCAAAACTAAATTCATTTTCTAGCCATACAGGCGTAAATTTATCAGGGAAAGTATATTCCCTATTACCACTCTTACCTCTTATCAGGATTTCTAGGAATTACTATTATAAGATTTTTCAACAGCCCAAAAATTTGCTCCGAACTACGGGCTGCCACCTTAAAATGTGATTTTTTTTCAGAAGAAACCAAAATCTCCTGTAATGTGTGTGGGAAGATTTTCAATGCTCAGTACAATCTCAACCGACACATGCCGGTTCACACTGGTGTCAGGCCATTTGAGTGCAAGGTATGGTAATTTGTGTTTCAAAAACTGTTAAAGAAGGTCAAATGAGAAAGCGTCCGGCATTGGTCGAACCCTTTTGAGATGCGCCACGCATTCAATTCCCATTCAGAATCGCAGTGGTACTTTTGAATATGATTTGACTTTATCACGTTGACGACCGCCGTTATGCGCGCACTGCTTCAACATTTTTCGTATTCTCTCATCAATAGGCATTAATCCTTCAGCGTTTTCATTATCAGTAATGAGAAAAATGTTTTTCGGATCCAATAATGTACATGGACCGTTGTGGAACAGAAAGAAACGCCGAAAAATCAAGAAAGACTAGTCTGCTTCATGTGAAAGTGCCACACGGTCGTCAAAGTGTTATATAATACAATGACTTGTGGGAGCCGGTCGACTTGGAGAGTTTTTCCTTCCACACAGCTATCGAGCGGCAAGTGGTGTAGTGGCAAGTGGCACGCTTATCAGGCATGCGGTTCAGGTATCGACTCCTAGGTCGTGCTTCATGCAGGCCGAACCACGCCTTGTCCCTACGGGGATGGATAACTGGTACATTGCTCTATAGAACAGTTGTTCGACCCATTCTCACCTTTATTTCGCCTTTTTAAGAAAATATATTATTCTTATCTGAAAAGGCACCTCTCCATCGATTTCCTAACTCACCCACATCCCCAGATTTGTGGAAAATCATTTCGGCAAGCGTCCACTCTTTGTCGACACAAGATTATTCATACAAAACTCAAGCCGCATACGGTATGAATTTATTGATTGGTTTCAGATCTTATCTTTTTTTTCTTTTTTTTTGTTTGCACTACGGTGATCACCGTTGGAGGACTATCAGTCGCAGATCAGTTCTAAAGGCATAGCAGATAGAAGAAAAAGAGTGGGATTCAAATGTGAAAAAGTAGGTACTAGGTAAAAAATTGCGAGGTGCCTGGCATATAGACTTCTTTCAAAATTAAATAGACCAAATTATCTGGAAGTGGCCTTGAGAAGACCTCTTTTCTTCTTACGATAGGAGACTTCAGAAGAGTAACAGTCTAGAAGTACACTGGTCACGATCACGGCGGGAACGAGGCAGCAGACACCGCAACGGTGGGCGTGCCTGGTTGCTTGAGGTGTCCGGCCGTAAGTTTTAAGCCTCTAGCTCCCTTTCGAGTCATGAAAGTGACCCCTTTTGAACGATCGCGGACACACGAGCATACTCTCTCAATGCGGGCTGTGCCTTTAATGAGCTGAATGGTTTATGTCGTTTCTCCCTGAGAGACCTCTGACGTCGAACACATAGTCATGACCCTTACAAGAATCGATTTCGTGGGTGCGTTTTGATGCTCTTGATGTTGACGCCGCGTGAAGCCACGCAATGAATTCACAATAACCACATTCATGACCTTCCTTTAAAAAGCGAGAAAGTTCGGGTGCAGACCAAACACCACAACTGACGACGGCCTCCAAGTAAATCTGGTTAGAAGTTGTTCATAGTGATAGCTGATTTCTAAATGATAGTTGTAATTAGTGACAATCGATAGAATACAACTGCAACAGGCTAATCATTTCATTGGCAGAAAACATTAACATTTCGTGACGGCGTCGCCACTTGTGGTGCATGGTCTGCCCCCGACACTCTCGCTTTTTGAAGGGCAGGGTACCTAGGATTCGCTATAGTGGCACAAAACGTGTTACCATGAGCAGTGTTGATTCTAGACCTACAGGTTATTACTTCTTCCATTCCCATTCAAATGTTTGTGCAACGAAAAGTAGGAGACAGGCGCTTGGGTCATTGGGCCCTTGATGCTTTTCGGCCTGGTTCATGAGGACTCCCTCAGAATAGAATGAACTGCATAATTTCGTGGGTTTCTGACATCTTAGTCTATTCTCTTGTGCTTCCCTCATCTTTCTGAATTTGTTATAAAAGCGGCCTCATTTTCCATTTTTGTTCTTTCAAGGGCGAGTAATTCCAGTGTTATTGGCTCCGAATGTATGGGTAAAGTTCGCATGTGAAAAGCTATCACAAAAATGCTGGGTCTTGTTAAACTCTTCGCCTCAGGCGGGAGTCGAACCCGCACCTATTCCCACCTGGGCGAACAATTTAGCCATACATTCTTGCGACAGCTTTCGCACGGTGGGCTGCAGACAGCAGTTATCAAAGAGGGTCTTATGAAACATGTGAAGAGTTTCTGAAGATCGAAGATATCGTCGCAATAGCCCCATTACAATTGCCCATCGTAAAGGATCAAACTTCGTCGAACTTTCTACCTTGGTTGAATAGTAGCAGAGCTGGGCTGTTTTCTGCTGGTGTTGCTTGTTACTAATTCCGTTCAAAAAAGAAGTCGCGAACGGTTTGAATCAGAGCTATAACCTTGTAGATGAGTCAAGTTACGTCAAGCGTCGGCCAGTGTCATGTCTAATGCTCTGATTCTTCTTGAAGCGCTCACGTCACCTTCACCGTCACCATTGCCACCCTCTGCCCCCCGCTATGAATAGGCGGATTTACTCGAGTGTGGCGCTAATCGGCACTCCTCGATCGCTACCGTACGCGAATTATTCAGCGAGGTTACTTCGGGGCTCACACTTCGACGCTGGCATTATAGTAGCCTGATATAAAGGGAACCAGTGATCAAGGACATTTTTGCAAACTAGATCACGTAAATTGAGAATCACCTTCAGAAAGGGAATATTGGTGTTTTTTTGATACTGGTGAAGTAACAGATGAGAGAATATGTGAAAGATCATCAATAAATGGGCCCAACGGTCTGTTAACCGAGTCTCAAACAGGCGAAGTAACTTTCAGTGTTGTGGACTCGATTTTTAATAGCGTTTTTGAGTGGAAGGATATGCACT